AGAGCAGAGAGAAAAGGTTTTCCTCTCCTCTTCTTCAACGTGAGCCTATTCCCATCAACGTCCATCAAGGTTATTGTGGCGAGTAGATAGCACTCTCAATTCTCAGCAAGAAAGTCCTGGGTTCGTATCCCGGTAGGAACAGGGGCTTTCTGAGTGGAGTTTGCATGTTCTTCTTGTGTCTGCGTAGGTTTCCTCTGGGTTCTCCGGTTTCCCCTACCACTAAAAACATGCACAGCTGATGGTTGGAGCTGATGGTCCAGTGTGTTCGGTGACTCGCTTCTGTCATCACCGTGTGTGGAATGATTGAAACAATATCTGAACCTTGGTCTGTAAAATACTCTATATAAATAAACATTACTTACTTCCTGATAACCTCCAAAATAGCCTAAATAACGATTAGCGTTTTAGTGTATATAGCACCTATATTTGCTGAATCAATCGCACATGTCATGTCTTTTTTACAGAAAATATAAAACCATTTGGGGAATTTGGACTCCGAGCTGTGAAGGAATCATTTTGAGGACAATTTCACATTCAATTTTTGTCTATTTTTGTTCACGGAATAAGGTTTGTTTTGTTACTTACTTACTTCAGTTATAAAATGTAAGTTAGTAAGTTTTTTATTTATATACCGCCTTTTCACTGCAGATCTGAGTCTCAAAGCGGTTTACAATTGTTAATTTTGGGCATTTGTCCTCTCACTCCACACAGAGATGGGAGCGGGGTCGCCAGTACAGGAGGCGCATGCCAGAACTATTGGACATATTTTTAGTGGTAGGGGAAACTGGAGTACCCGGGGGAAACCTACGCAGACACGTGGAGAACATGCAAACTCCACTCAGAAAGGCCCTGGTCCGACCGGGATTCGAACCCAGGACCTTCTTGCTGAGAGGCGAGAGTGCTATCCACTCAGCCACCGTGCCGCCCCGAAGTAGCTTTCACCGTGCAATCTGAGATGTTCTTATTTTTCCAACGGTTCCCCAAAGGTTTTCACTTAGCTATTATACAAAAAACTTGCGTCATTTGTGAGGATACAGGCAAAATGTACTGATTCTTAAAGGTATATGGGAGGATTTTCTTTTTCCGAGTGGATCATCTAAACTATTGGTCTTCTTGGTCCAAAATTAGAAACTACTGTCAATCATTTTGGTTCTACGCGAGACACGTTTTAATTAATCTAAGGAGGCGGTTCTTTCATAAAACTTGGGAAAATCCTCCTATGTACCAATTCATGTCTGTCTATTTTCCCTACGACTTCCTTTTAGTCGATTGTAAGCTTACTGTATGACTAAAACACTTTTTCGTGTTGAGAGATCGCATTCGTGCAGTAGCTTTAGTATTTTCACTGTTCTGACAAGTGCCAATACAACTTATTTTTTGACATCAGCTTACCACAGAGGCTGAAATAAAGTAAACATGCTTGACAATAGAAAATCAAATCAAATCAAAGTGTAAAATGAGGCGACCGGCTGTGAGAGTTAGCCGCCTTCGCTCACCACTCCCAGGCGTCGGCAAAAACATTTTTTTCAACATAGTCTTGGATTTGAATGCACAACAGCACACATCTTTTTATGCATGAAGTCTTTTCTAGATTACTTTTGTTGAGCGCCGTTTTTATTTGTATCCTGCTTTGTGCAATTAGAGAGCGCAGCTTATCAGACTGATTTGTTTTGTTACCACTGCGGTAACAGTTTTAATTGCTTATCCAAAGTGGCAGAGTTTTATTCTCGGATCATGTTTAATTATGCTGCTAATTTGTGTGCCTTTAAAAAATAGTGCGTAATTATTGCATGAATACATCTGGTGAGCTTGTAAATTAACTCTTGCACAGCGCATGCAAAATTTAAAAAAAAAAGATCTATGGACAAGGTCTAGGACGCGCAAGGCTGGCTACATGCAAGACAAGGTTAAAGTTTTACTATGTACAAGCCTGAAGCCAAGCACCGTTTCAGACCCGCGCTGCTAATTACCCAGACAAGATAATAAACAGAGGAGACGATTGATACGTTCCTGGAGATGATTTGCATAGACACTCCAGGAAAATTTTCAAATGAAAAGAGGAGCGGCCAAGTGCAAGTAATGGCTTGCTTAAATATCATTTATGGCTCAGATCATAAGTTATTCACACTGAAGCTGATTCATTATGCAGTCTTGAAATGTTATCTCTCTAATAATGTGCGACACTAGGTTTTCGTCTGCTGAACGGCGTGTTGTGCAGCGGCTGTGTACACGTTTTTATCCCGGTGCTGATTCCGCAAATCAGCTAATACATCCTGACAACCTGCCTGATAGCGCCACACTCTACCTCTTAACTTGTCCTGGGGAAGAGCCTTGGTTTGGCTATAAATTGATTCCTTCTGGCAGAGTTCTTTGCCGAAGCAGGAGGGTCTGAGGACGGCGATATGATCCAGGACTTTTATGGACATTTTTGGACATTCTTTGGACATTTAAGGACATTCTTTGGACATTTAAAGACATTGGTGGCTGCACTGTTGATGTGAAGTTGACCTTATTCAAAGCCTACTGCTCTCCTTTATACTCTGCACATCTGTGGCTGAACTACAAAAAAGCTACTCTTCCGAAACTGCAGGTAGCTTTCAATGACGCTCTGAGGATGCTGTTAAAGAAGCCCAGATCGACTCATGCGAGTGAGTTGTTTGTGAGCAACAGAGTGAACACACTGAAGTCTGTCTTAAGAAATGCAATGTTTAATTTTATTCGCCGATTGAACGGGTCTGTGAACCTAGTTGTTGTTGTTTTGGTGAATGTCAAGTTCAGTACAACACGATGTATTTCTCACTTCTGGGAACACTGGTACAAGTGTCTTTGTAAATGAGTCATTAGACTTTGATATTTTATTTTTTATGTTTCTGTGTCTTGTGGTGTCCTTGTGTTGTCTCTTGTATGGAGCTTGAGTCCAGAATAAAGATAATGTATTTTCAAGATTAAAGAATTTCTTTGCCATTTGTAGTAAAACCCCATTGGAAAAACTGTGCAAGATCACCCTAGTGTTCACCGGACAGAGAGGACAGCACACACCAGAGATTGTTCATCCAGCTCCCGATGGACCAATGGCTCCTACTGTATGTGTTTGCTATTGCCAATATGAGGTGAAATACAGTATATGTGCAATACTTTTGAATGGTTTGTCTACTGTTGTTAAAAGTATATGCTAACACGATTGGTGCTCATCCTTGTTCACCTGTTCCGTTGTGATTCTGTGTGTAAGTGACTGCCATCTTTGTGTGGAGTGAGTGACAAATGCCCGCCATTGTAAACCGCTTTGTGGCTCTGGTCTGTGAAAGGCGCTATATAAATAAAGATTACTTACTTACTTACAGATATACAGTATGTTTTAAATACTTGCTGTGACCTACTGTACCTGCCTGTAAAATCTGTACAAACATAATCAACCAAGTGACCAAGCAGAAGTGTTGCTACATATTTGACATACGCGAGAGGCACAGCGTGAGTAAAACTAGGTCACATCATGGCAGTAAATTGAGGGATAAATTGCCTGCGTGGTCCTTTGTGAGCCTGGCAGGTGTTGTCCACGTGAAGCATGGCAGTTCCTTTACATAAACTGTTTCAAAAGGCAGTAATCACAGGTCTCTGGACACATATCATAAATCTGTTCCTCCATGTGCTTCATCACCTGCCACTTTGTTATTGCGAGCCTGACTTTACTGGAAAGAGTTTAAACATGAAGACGCTGGATTATTACATGCTGTAACTTCAACCTTGCAACATTAGAGTTTTAGAATGTTATTGGCAGAACAGAAAAGGTCTGCATTTGATCTTTACGTTGACCATATACACATCATAAATCTCCAATTCATTTCCTTTATTCTGACTCATTCTCATCTTTTATTTTCCTTCTATTGAACATTAAGTCTGTGCAGAAAATGTGAAACTAAATATCAGACTCACTCTAGCATCTCATTTATATATTTATGAGATTCTGAAAAGTGCTGCAGTGTACAAAACCTGCACTAACAGCATCCACAGAATATCTCTCTGTTTTGCTCTGTGCCCACGGACTGAAGCTTGTTCCTTTTCTCCTTCCTCTGCACCAAAGGCCTGGAGGTTTTTCTCTTGCATGAATCTCAGTGTCATAATTGGTGGATAATCATCCTAAGATTGTTTCTGTCTTTAGATCCCAGTGGCGCCTCGCCAAAATAGGTCCTTCATTTGTGATGGGTAATTAAGATTGTGTACAAAAGGTGCAGTAAAAAGCTGTTCTGCTGTGTCGGTGGATGTGTTATTCCTACATTAGAATGTTGGCAAGGATCATCTTCATAATGGAGACAATTAGGGGTTGCTGCAGGCCAAGTCAGATCTGTGGAGGGTAGAACCTGCTTACTTACCGTAAAAAAGTATTTATAAGCTATTTAAAATATTTAATAAAACTAGTGATGTTTCTTCCTAGTTTTAATAAAACTAAAACTAATGTTTATTGCAACAGTACTGTATGTGTGGAGCATTGCACAGAACAGATGAAACAACAGAATTTCAAGAAATATTCATGAATGAAGGATTACAGTAACTCCACACTGAAGTTTATTTAAAACTTTTCTCTGTTACAACACACATAGCTTTTTCAGTGTCTTTTTTTTTACACTAAAACAGGCACTGTTGACTTGCACGTGAAACCTGTAATACTGTTAATATGTACTGCATGGCAACATGTGTTGGATTAAAATAACGTCTGGCATTTGACACATTTACTGGCAAAAGTCTCCAGGAGTAATTAGAGGTTTTGTAAGTGTCATGTGAGGTTAGCTGCGTTATGAAAAACAAAAAACTAAACAAGACTTAGACTTTTAAATTAAAGATTGCAAATAACCCTAACCCTATGCTAAAGTGAATATGTATTGCAAAGTTTAAATAAAACATCAACTCACGGTACCGTAACGATAATAGCGGTCTTTGAAGTAAAAACACACTTCCATCTTGTTGCTGTTGCCCTGTGCATATTTACAGTAGTGCACTTCACTCACCTTTTGCACATTTCTCGTGATCTTCCCGAACGAATTTGGCACGATGAGCAGCACTGGGCTGGAAGAGTGGCTGGACGTCCTGCGCCGCCTCTGGTATGATGGCACTGCCCAGTCCAGTGCCACCAAGCCCTCGTCGCTGAGCTGGAGGTTATCCCGCACGAACTGGACCTCACTGTGGTACGGCCAACACGCTTCGAACACGCTCTGCAGCACGGCGCTTGCCCTCCACGTCCAGCCCTCGCAGGGGCTATAGTGGCAAAAACTTCTGCAATGTTTCACCAAGTAGTTGGCCAGAGCGGACGGTTTGCACACGAATGCAACTGAGTCCGCTTTAACGTCAGGATTCCCGTGCGTAAAGTCATCGTTTTTGGAGTCATTTTCCAGCGCGCGTGTTACTCCCTGTCCCCACAAACGCGCGCCCGTCTGTACTCCCGTGCAAAAGTACGTGGCACATGGCCAAAAAACAACCACCAGGACCACAATAGAAACAAATACAAGGCATTCCAGCATTGGCACAGGATGACAAGGGACGCGCAGCCAACTCAGTCAGTTCTGGCCCCGAGGTATAGTCCAGGCATCTCATTCACTTCCAAACTTCATGCGTATTCATCAGCCCGTGCTTTTTCTGACTCTTCCCAAGTCGTCCCAAATCTTCAGATGCCACCTTAAAAAAATAAAAAATAAATACACACACACACAGCCCGCCTTTCTACTCCAAGCCTCGAAACAGACGCGCCACTTTGCCCCCAGCTTTGTGATCACAGAGTGAGCAGACGAGCGCACACCACGCCTCCCGTATCTCCAACCCTGTCCAAAACAGGTAGTGAGGCGCGCACGTACAACCCGCTCCATCAGGTGCATAGATGATTAGATGTCGCCCACTTTGACATATACTGTCAGAGCAATAGAAGAAAGCCTGGACATTTACAAAAAAGTAGCCAGTGTGCATGTTGGTGAACTATGAATGAACCAAAGAGGATGAAATTTGGCAAATGGGTCAAGTAAACAGCTCCCAACAAGCACAAGCTTTTAGTGATTAATTAAGGCCACTGAGAGGAAAATGGAGTTGCATATCCCTTTGTGAAGTTCCAGCTTTTATATAATTTGCTTTCATAATGTATTTTGTGAATATTGAATGTGGTTTAAAAGTGGCTCCCAGAAAGCTTCAATTCTCGCAGCTAGTACATTGGTTCATGTTGGCAGGGATGCAAAAGTGTTTGTTGCCATTAGGTTACAGAGTGGAAAAGGAAAACAAATTTTGCCATTTCATCATGATGTGTACTTCAAAAAAATGGAAAATATATTGGTCATCACGTATTTTAATCACCTATATACAGTATGTCAATGACAGAGAACAATATAGCTATAAATATGATGTTTCCAATGCACATAGTTTGGTCATAAATGATACAAAATACAAACTGCGCTGGTATGTTATTTTATGAAAAGGCCAAGACAATCACCACTCAATATACTATTCTCTGGTCCGAATGGAAAAGGTCAAAGCTGTGACGAAGACTGCAGATAAGAGCAGGGTTGGAGATAAGGTGAAGGTTGCAGAGATTCACAATATAACTGGACACATCGTTCATTAACTTAGAACGCTCCCAAAACATGGCACAAGGATTTAGTTCCCGACATAGTGCGTAATGGTTTTCAATTGTCAACATGGCCAAATTTAAATCAAATCTTGCAGCATGACGTCAATGTTTTTGATTAGTAACAAAACACACTACAGCTATGCAATTCTTTTGATTATTTTCTACCCTTTGACATATTTATGCAGTTTATACACTATACGCCATCAGCTTTCTCACTTCTGCTAATGACTACACAATTTTGTCAAACGCCTATTTGTAATTCTTGGTAATTATTGATTTGCCTGCTGGTTCATGTCAGTTCAGGACGGCTGTGGTCAGTATAACGAATGAGATCACAATGTTCTCTATTCTCTATTGTATCCCAGTCCCCAGAGCAATCACGATCATATCAGGTATCCAAAAAGCTCCGCAAAATGGACATGTGACATTTACCACTGCGTAGATAAGAGTTTAAACCATATTACACATATCGCATTATGTTATATACTTGTATAATTGCACTGGGTTATGTCAGGCTATTCTTCCATGCTTCTCTCTGTCCATTCTGACCGATCAAGGCTAAAAAATGCATTTTCTGAGTTAATGACATTTGTGACACACAGAGGATGCCTTGAATAGATCCATTTTTTTATTTATTATAATTAAAATAACATGTCGCTTAAAGATTCAATTCAAATAATGCCAGACAAATCAATAGAATATACATATAGCTGCTGATTGCATGCAATGATGCACTAGACTTTTACTGTAAGTCCCTCGCTGGACTAGTGCCAAGTCTCTGTTTGTTTGTACAATATGTCCCCACACTGAATGCTGTGATCAGAAATTATATTTTAGTTCATGAAACGCTGTGAGGACTCTCTAGAAGGAGATAGTCTGTACTTGCACTTCTGAACTCTGGAGGTATTGGGGAAACTGTCTTTACAAATTATGTATACATTGCCTGTTTGTTTGTTTTTTTGTCAGTATTTATTTGTCTGTTTTTGTGTTATATCGACTCTCAGCAGTGCTGGTCTGAAAAAGTACCATAAGGATGAAACTACATTTTACGTTTATACAGTTTTTAATAGTCTCTAATGTTGCCGTATGGGTTTAGTTTCACTTGAGTATTGTGTCACCTGACAGGATGGGGAAGTAGAACATTATAGGATGTGGTCATGCATTGGTTTACAGATCATGGAAACTGCTGATGGTGCTGCATTTTATCTTTCTTCTTTGCCTAATGCTAATGGATAATGTGGTTAGTATAGGGCATGCCATAATGATAGCTGTATTGCTCAGCTAAGTTCATAACAGTGTGTACAGTATATATATGCTCAGAAAACAAGAAGATCCCTCTAAAATGTATGTCGGTTAATGTAACATGTGAAACCAATATATGCAAAGTGAAATATGTCAAGCCCTTGTTTGTAATAACACATTTTTTAATTTACTGAGTTGGGTTTTTGCAAGCTGTGAAAAACTTTTTTTAAAGAGTTTTATGTGTGCCTCACTGTGTCTCGCCTCCCTATTGTTATTCATTTTTGTGTGTATGTGCTTTGTGGTGTTGGTGGTCGTTTTCCAATGTAAGGCAAGGCAAGGCAAGGCAAGGCAAGTTTATTTATATAGCACAATTCATACACAAGGCAATTCAAAGTGCTGAACAAAACAAGAAAGCATTAAAATCATAAATTATCACAGAACATTAAAAAGAAAGATAAAAATATAAAATCCCTCAGTTGTATGCACAGTTAAACAGAACCGTCTTTAACCTGGTTTTAAACATTGTCAGAGAGGAGGCCTGTCTCACATCTTCAGGAAGACTGTTCCAGATTTTAGCAGCATTAATCTGAAAAGCAGCCTCCCCATGTTTAGTTCTGACTCTGGGCACTAACAGGAGTCCAGTCCCTGTGCTCCTCAGAGTCCGGGCTGGTTCATATGGGACTAACATGTCACTAATATATTTTGGTGCGAGGCTATGGAGAGACTTGTACACAAGCAGAGCTGTTTTAAAGTCTATTCTCTGAGCCACAGGAAGCCAGTGCAGAGACCTGAGGACTGGACTAATGTGGTCGTACTTCCTGGTTCTTGTCAGGACTCGAGCTGCTGCATTTTGAATGTACTGCAGCTGTTTTACAGCCTGTTTGGACAGACCTGTGAGCAGGCCATTGCAGTAGTCTAACCTACTGGAGACAAATGCATGGATAAGAATCTCCAAGTCTGCTTTAGACACTATGTTTTTGATCCTGGCAATGTTTTTTAGATGGTAAAAAGCTGCTGATGTTACTGATTTGATGTGGCTTTTAAAATTTAAGTCTGAGTCCAGTATTACCCCTAGATTTCTGACCTTGTTTGAAGGTTTTAGGGAGAGAGACTGTAGGTGACAGATGACGCTCTCTCTTTGTTTCTGGGGACCAAAGACAATCATTTCAGTTTTGTCTGCGTTTAGCTGAAGGAAGTTGTTTTGCATCCACTCACTGATCTGTTGGATACAGTGAAGGAGTGAGTCCACTGGTCCATGTTCTCCTGCAGTCAGTGAGACATAGATCTGAGTGTCGTCTGCATAGTTATGATAGGAAACTTTGTTTCTGCGTATTAACTGACCTAACGGCAGCATGTAGAGATTGAACAGAAGAGGTCCCAGGATCGACCCCTGTGGGACTCCACAGGTCAGGGCCATATGATCTGAGACACAGTTTCCAATCTCCACAAAGTACTTCCTGTCTTCAAGGTAAGACCTAAACCAACTTAGGGCGGTGCCAGTGACGCCAACCCAGTCCTCTAGTCTCTGTAAGAGGATCTCATGGTCGACGGTGTCAAAGGCAGCACTTAGATCTAACAAGATTAAGATTGAGACTTTGCCTGCGTCAGTGTTCAGCCGGATATCGTTTGTAACCTTAACGAGAGCAGTCTCAGTGCTGTGGTGGGGTCTAAAGCCGGACTGAAACATATCAAATGAGTTGTTGATTATGTATTGTATTCTGCAAATGGCAAAAATGTATTCTGATTCTGAAACAATTATGTACGTTATAACAAATAAAAGCTTGATACATCTCACTTTAGTGTCATTGTCTTGTTGAATTAGTAAGTAGTAGAAATGAGTAATTCTCAGTAAGTTTCACCTATATGTAGCACGCCTAACACTACAATTGTTTAATTTTTTGTACGTGACTGGGACAGAGCATGTCAATGAACAGACATGTGAAGCATAAATGTAAACATGCCAGATTATAGTCACAACTGTATAAACTGTATGAACTTATGTTTCATGTTTATTCACATTAGTTTAGTCACTCAGCAGCTGCAACATCTGTGCTGCAGTATCACCGTCATCGCCGAGGCCGTAAGCAGGACGTCATTGAGGTTCAGTCGGTGCCAGCCTATAAACACAGCCCATATGTTTGCAATGATACAAGAGACGGAATAACAGAGGATTCTGGTAACGGCGTGTGAGTGACGTGAAAGATTGTGTGTTTGTAGACGTCAGAGCCCGCTGGCATTGAACCTGTATTGACTGCATGCGGCTAAAGGACCACCTGGTTTACATCCCAGAGAACAAATGGGATTTAAGACCAATCGATGATACTGTGGACTGGATATTGTACTGTCATTTTTGCTTTTGAGTATCAGCATTTTACACACAAATCAATGTTCGTGTGTTCCATGCTCACTGGGCAGTCATAGGCAGTTGGCGCCCTTGTGATTATTTTTGGTGAATGTTTTCAGACTCCCAGAGTTAGGACTAAACATGGGGAGGCTGCATTTCAGATTCATGCTGCTAAAATCTGGAACAATCTTCCTGAAAGTGTGAGACAGGCCTCTTTTCTGACAATGTGTACATAACTGTGCTATGCTGTGTTATTTAGTGCATTGACCACAAAAAATAGGGAATATTTATAGGTTTAATGTACAAGGTTTGTTTAGTGTACA